TCTATTGATCCAAGAGACTTAGCTATAAAAAACAGTTTGACAATTTTTCTGTCTTTGGCACTTTTTTGTAGCTGTTCTTAGGCCACTCACAGATTCACATAGAATCAAATTTTATGCTTATTTGGCACTTCTGCAAAGTTTTTCAGGCATCCACAATTCCCTGAGTGTGATATTCAATTTTTAGGGTCCCAGTCCCATGACTCATTCTGTCTGAATTGGCCACAAAATATGGAAACCCTGATATGTATCTGCTGAGAACCATATTCATTGACATTTTCCTATACATCAAACAGATCCTCAGCTCTGTCTCTTACCTGGACCTCAAATTCCTTCCTAAGCTATGATAATATGAGTTTTCTTACTCTTATCACCTTCATACTGTCTCACTAGTTTGCTGAGATTCCCAGTCCTCACCCTTCTTCAAACTCCTCAGATCCTCTCTTTTTCCTTCTCTTGTAATTGTCTGTACTTTTACATCCCATTGAGAGGTTATAAACCTTTACTGAAATCTCTTCTTCTGTTCCCAAATTAGAGAAAGTATCTCAAGTTGTTCCCCATGGGGAGTCCAAGTCTAACCTCTGTATAGAGAAGGTGGAGAAAATGAGTCTGCAGCAGTTTGGCTGGTTTTTATTCCAAACCCATCAATATGCAAATTGCTTCCTGTCACAATCACCCCACTGACTTCCTGGGACTGTTCCACATTTACAGGACCAATGGATTGAGCTGTGCCAGACAGAGCAAGCTGCTGCTCTCCTGCTCACCAACAGCACCAAAAACTTTGATGCAAGAGGAGAGAACCACACTGACCAAAACACTGCTTTCCCCTTGAGAGAACAGCAGCACCTCCTCCCCTGCCCACAGACCTTCACACACAGATCCCTTCCTGGCCTCTTGCTCATTTCCCACAGTGTCTAACTTGGTGATAAATTTGCTTGCCAGCCAGGAGAGAGCAGATGAATTAGTGAAAAATTAGTGGATTTCCAGACTTCAAAGATGCTCCTGGGTTTAAATAGTATTAGCTTCTACATTTCTAAATTGAGCAAAATCTTTTTTCATTGGAAAATTTGAAGTGGAGCAGTTCTGCTGCCAGCTTTACTGTTTTAAGACCCACAGGAGTCAAAGTACTTAAGCAATCCCTAATTTTAAATCACATTAAGAAAAAATATTTACTGAAGTACTGTGTTTCAGGATTATTCTTCTGAAATTCACAGGCTTGGTTGTAAAGTATTTTTTTTCAGTTCTATGCTGTTTTCTCAGTTCTATTTGGATCCTTTTGGTAGCTGGCCCAGGTAGTAACAGGACAACAGATGCTGATAAATCAGAAATTGCAATCTTTGCTCAAATAAGGAAAGCTTTAGCAGCAGTGTAAATTTGAGCCAGAAGAATGGATTTTTTTTTCTGTTTTTTTCCTCTTTTCACTACAGCAGCAGTGTGTATTCTTAGCAGTTAAACACCAGCAATGTTTCAAAAAGTCACCATGCCACATTGCAGTTATGTAAAAAGAGGTGTCTGTCAAACATGCTTAGACCCAAAACCGCATAGAGATTAAAAATAAAAGCTATCACTCCAGTGGTAGGAATTTCAAACATTCCTGGGGGTAAAATCCTATACAGGGCCATACAGAACAAATCTATAAACTCAGCTCCCATTAGTATCTCTGCAGCATCAGTCAGCAAACCTCAACTATGCCCTCCAGGCAGGGTAAAGAAATTGGTAAGCCTTGTGCAGAAGTAAATTATGTGTTTCAGGTAATATTTGTTTTATATAAAAGAAGGGAGAGTAGAGCAAGAGTTCTAACAAATTTCATGGTACTAAGAAGCAGGTTTTGTTTTGTCCCTGAATTATATTCTGAAAACCAGCCTTGAGGACCTCCTTTCTTGTAAAAGAGCCAGCTGAGGTTGAATATCTACTTTTATCCCAGAAAATGACCTCATTTCTCAAAAGAGACTGGCAAGTAATTGTTCCAGGGGAGGAGAATCACAAATCCCTCACCCCAATTTGTCCTCCTCTCTCCATGAGAGCAATCCAGCCTCTGGAACTTGTTGAAAACTGGTCAGCCAATCTCAGAGCTGTGGGGAAGTGTGAGCCCAGGGGAAGTCTGGCCTTCCACAGCACAGAACACCAGAAATATTTTGGTCATTGTGCTACAGTGTTTTAGGAAAGCTGAGGAGGAGGAGGAGACATCCTTCCCGCAAGGTACCAGCCTCTGGCACAGGGACTAAGCAGGCAACAGGAGACAACAAAGCCTTGAGCTGCCAAGGTGGAGTGTGACAAGTATTGTAAATTTGAGACTGTCCATGCTCCAAAAGGGAAGTCTTGATTTTGCCAGACTTATTGATACACAAACTTTTGTTTGGGAACAGACAGCAGCATCACCTTTTATTTTACAGCATGTTTGCAAAGGGTGCTGCTCCCAGGAGGTGGAGATCAATTCTGTTCTCCCCTTTTAAAAACCAGAAGTCATTGTCTTGGTGCAAATTCCCAGCACTGTGTTCTTGGCCCTCAGGTGTGATCTCCAGTGAGGTGACAGAGCCCCAGAAAACCCAACTCTGTGCTGAGGGCTCCCCTAGACTGACCTATGCCCAATGCATGGACCTCTGGAGAACCAACATGTCTCCATGCCCTTCTGGATCTGTTTTTGGAGTCCAGACCTGAATGTGGCCCTTTGAACCTTAGCTATCATTTTGCTGACAAGAATATTTTTATTCTGTGCTTTGTTTATTTAAATGTCAAATCTTTAAATCAGAAGCCTCCCTCACTGTGTGCATAAATCTGGTAGAGCATCAAGGGGGATGGGAGCACAGGAGATCTAAAGACAGTAAAAATGGCAGTAAAACTACACATCCTGTGTACAAATGCATTTCTAATTGCTCTTGTTAGAATACAGTCTTCTGTGAACCTTTTTTCTATTGCTATAGACTAGCTATAATATAAAAGTCTCTTGACTGTTTAAATGACGTGGCTAGGAAGATTTTTCCCACTGAGAATGGAGACAATTTAGACTATGGAGCAGAATGGGATAAGATGAATATTCAAAAACTCACAGAGTCAACTTTTTGCATGCAGATTAACTCATAAAAAAATGCCACTGCCTGCAGTACCTACTCCTGGTCATAACTGCAGTATTTATAATGGGATATTAAGCTTTAGTTATGTTACTGTCTTAGGCTACATAAACCACCAGGAAAAGAGAGAATAAATAAGGTTCTTGCAGATTACTTAATTGTAGCAAACAGGAAGCTGCAGTAATCACAATTTTGCTTTGCAAGGGAATTCCATGGTTGAGAGGTGGTGGAATGGATTTGTGAAGGAAACGGGAGTAGCATTAATTAGTGTGGTCCCAGCAGGCCATTAATCAGGATGGGGTAAAGCCTCAGTAAACTCACAGACCTCTACTCAAACAGGTAGGTCACACAGTGGGAAAAACTCCAGCTCCACTGAAGTAAACTGCTGGTCACCCCCTGGGGATCTGGATCCTCTTGGAACTGGGAAGGATGAACACAGGTCATGTTCCTCTTCACAGGGACTAAAAGCTGCCAGAATTTGTGCTGCTCAGGAGAGGGAGAAGTGCAACAGGGATGGATATGTGACCTTATACAGCCGATCCAGAGGCTGGCTTTTCCCAGGTCAAGGGTTACTGTTGTTGCACCAACCTTCACCTTGAGTGTATGTTTCAACAGACAAGGAACTGTAAAAGCAGCATGTCCATTCCAAGTGTCTTGTAGGAATGCTTCCTAGCCTGTAGAGACCTGTGGGAGAGAGAAACTGGGACTATCACCTGCAAGCTGCTCAAACACCTGACACTCAAAAGCTCCATCCTTGTAGGCACAGCCAAGGGAAGGACAGTGGCTTGTAGTCCCCTCATGTGAGCAGGGTGGAATCTGTGGGCTGCCTGAGGTAAGAATCTAATAATTTGACCACAGCAATTATGCCAGTTAGCAAAGAATTCACTTCATTAAAGGAATTGCAAGCAGTCAGTGGTTTGCTTTCCATTGCCATAAGTAGTCTTTTCATAGCATTTCTGGCTTTCAGAAAGTGTAGTTCTATCTTACCTGTGTTTCTCACTGCAGAAATTGGGAATCTCATTGCCTGGTGTACAGATGTGGGCTGTGTGTTACTTCAGCTCTGCATGCAAACTGCAGCAAAAGCTTGGTCAGAGTGATTGTGACACTCCTCTCATCTCCTCCACATGTGCCTGCTGCAGGACATTGGAAAGGTCTCTTCTTCTCCCATCCCTTCACTGTTCTTTCAAACCCTTCTACTGTCTTGTGTCTTTGGGCTGTGAGAGAACTTAATCTTTCACTTCTCACTTTCCCAAAGGAGCTGTAGGGTTAGAGTTCCCTATATCCCATTGGAGTGGAATGTACTGCCTTTCTCTCAACACCCTGACTTTCCCACAGCTGCTTATAGGAAAATAACTAAAGTCAAACCAGGTCTACATACAGCATAAGACAGGTACTATTGTCATGACAAATGCTTTTGTTTTACAAGGAGATTCCAAAGTTTTTACTCTTGAGCCTGGCTGGACAATTTCTGCCTGGAATCCTTGACCTCTGTCAGAACTGTTCTTTGCTTGAACAAAGAGTAAGGTATTTCCATCCAATTATTTTCCTGCATTAGTAACAGGATTACTAGAGATCCATATATTCTTTATAATATCCTTCCACTTTCAAAGCTGAGGAGTCTTTCAGAAAATTAATGTATTTGGCTACAGTTCTGCACAGGCATATGAGCCCAAGATAAGCTAAAACTGTTTTTTAAAATTGGGCTTTTTTCCTCAGGCAATATTTTTATGTTCCCCTTCTAATCTTTAATTGGAAGTCAGAGTTAGCATATTGATAACTTGGCTCACTCTCCATTTAATTCTGTTTTGAGTGCTGATAATCTAATTACACCATTTTACATAAGGAAGCGCAGGCTGAGGAAGTTGAAGCAATCTGATGCCAAAACATATGGCCCATTAAGATGTATCATGCTGACTGTTACAAGGACATACTTACTGTGGTCCAACCAACCTGCTGACCCAGGTCTGTGAAATACAGTGTAATGATGGAGGAGACAGCAAGGCTTTGGATGCTGATGGAATCCTTCAAAAAGGGCCCGTCTGCAGTGACAGAAATGGAAGAGGAGATGGTGTGAGCAGCAGGACCCTCTTGAGGGCTCAGCACAGTGCTGAGGTTGCCCTGCTAGTTCTCCAGATGCAGGCCCAGCTTGGATTCTGATTTACTTTTGTGGCTTGGTACTTCTTCTCCAGGTTAGCAGCTCAGAGCTCTTCCATGAGGGTTGTTCCCTTCCCATGTTAACAGAAGCGTTTGGCCGCGGTGACACAGGACAGCAGTGTGTGACAGCTGTACCCTGCTGTCCCTGTCAAGGTGGCCCATCAGAGGCAGGCCATGCAATCACAGACAGCTCCACAGGGCACTCTTGTTCTGGCTTGCAGAACTAATGGCAAAGTCTGTGTTGCACAGCCTCTCCCTCACTGCCATATTGTGCTGAAGCATTTGCATTCTCAGGCTGTTTTACAGCAGCAGTGTCTGATGATCAATGCAACCTCTTGGGCAAAGGCTCACGAGCCAAGATTTCTTTTCTGGCTGTCTGACCCAGGCAGACCAGGTGTATCTGAGCATTACATTACTGTTTGCAGTATTCTGAGGCATCTGCTTTCAGTCCTAATGGATCTAGAGTATACAGAAGGACACATGAAATAACAATATTTGGTTTGCTTTTTTTTTTTTTTTAATATAGGCCTTGAGCTGGCTATTGGAAAATTCCAACAGCCACTGGCACTGGAAGTTGCCATGGCTGCAACACCTCTTTGCTCTTTGTGAATGGTTTCCTTTTCAATATACATTTGTTGATTGTTTACATCAGTGGGGGTGCTAGATTCCATCAGGTGCTGATGGAATTTAGCACCCACCAGCCTCATTTTCTATGGCTTTGCATTTCTACACATCCACAGACCAAACACCAAACAGTCTCTGGCAGCTTTATCTTCCACTGCCATGTCCACCAAGAACTTGTGGACTGACACAGAGGCAGCCAGCTGCAACTTCTGGTGAGGAAGTGAGCAAATATTAAAACAGGTAATGCAGTGAGGGAAGGAAGGGGTTGAATGGGCTTAAAACTGCTTGTCTTCATTGTGTGATCATAGACTGTATTCTGGAACATCTCACTCAGTGGTTATGAAAACCACTAGGTTCCTTTACTAATGAGAAAACTAGTGAGGTAATAATTGATGTCAGTTGATGAAAATGTACCGACTGCTCACCCAATAACACATATAGAGAGAGCAATGCTGTGAGGAGGAGAATCTGCCAGAGGATTAGTAATACATTAGGTGGATTAGTAATTAGTAATACATTAGGTGGACTGGTAATTAGTAATACATTAGGTGGCTGCACTCAGCCATATGAATACTCACTGTGTTCCAGTTGCAGGCCAACACGGGATGGGTACCACTGGGGACCTGTTCCAATCACAAAGCATGGCTGTTAATTTTGTGATAGAAAAGCTAATTTTTTTTAGGTTTGGGGTGGGGTTTTTTTCAGCTGATATCTACAGAAGTGAGATGGAATAAAAAGCATCTTTCTTTTGGTCTAATCCATACAAGAGAGCTGGGAGGAGCACACAACACACACTTTAGAGGATGAATCCCTTCTCCCATTTCAGTGTTGGAAGGGCCAATCTCAATGCTGAATGCTCCATCAGCACAGCTTGTGTGTGCAACACTGGGAAATATAGAGAGGATACTGTTTATTACTGTATTTGCCAAAACTCAGTACTAAATGTATCAGCCTTGCCCCTCCTTCTAGAAAATATGCCTGTGCTAGAGTCTGCTCCAGGACTTTGTGTTTCCCATTTAGGAATGTAAAACCTAACTAGGCATGTGTAGCTTGTATTAGCTCTCAACCAGAAATTAATCAGGGAAATAGAGGCACAAAAAGTAGAAGCACATGGATAGCTAATTCTGGGTGACTTATGACTCCCTTGATACCCCCAACTTGAGGATGTTTCCTAGAAGTAGATTTTTAAATGCTGTAGTTTAAAGGTCATTCCAAAATGCACAATAGCATTGTGCATTTGTTATTGGATTCCCTTTGGTGATTTGGAGCAGAGACCTGGTCAAACAGGTATGGATCTCCAGCTGCCTTTGCTTTCCTTGGTATTGGAGTGAGCAGGGAATTGCCACCAACCCACTGCAGAGGGGATCATGGATGTTCAGGTTGTAAATTGGCCAGCTCTTTAGTTGTGCAGAAGGCTGTGCTTCTGCAGCTGTGCTGCTGAATACAAACACTCCTCCTTTGCATCACAAGGGCAAGTAACTGCCTAACCCATGCACAATCTTTGGTTTCCTGTTGAAGGTTTTTAGCCAGCACATTTCTGGGCTCAGCTGAAGCAATGTGGTGAGAACTTCCATAGTCCATGGTGTTGACTGACATTTGGGGGAAGTAGAGATTGTCAGAGAAAAGTGAGGAACCTGCTGCAGTATCACCACCTCAGTCATTTCTACCACACATTTGTCTTTATTTCCTTTGACACACCTGAGGACAGTTGATAGCCTGAAGGAGATTTGCTTTGTCTTTTCAATTCAAAGCCTATGTGAAATTGCTCAGGTTTTTCAGATGTATCTTACAACTCTTAGTGATCCCGTGTGTAAGGTATAAATATTCCCCTACCTCTAAATGGACAAAAATTGTTTGCAGTGACTGTGATCAAACATGGAAACATTTGCCCCAAGAAGCTGTGGGATCTCCTGGACATATTCAGGCCTTGTCTGGGGATGACCTTGAACAGTCTTATAGGGCTTTAAAATTGGCCCTGTTCTGAGCAGGAACCTGGATCTGGAGATGAGCTCTGAAGGTTGTTTCTCCCTAACTTATTTCAGGGTGGTGAGGAGAGCTTGTTCTCTCCACCAGCTGCCAGCTGGAGGGGAAGGAGCTGTACAGGGTGTGCACTGTGCAGTGACACTCAGCACACTCATTTCAAAAGCACTTGGTCTGACTTTTGTAGGCAAGAACAGGCATTAGATGAACCCATGAACCAGGGCTAATAGCAGGAGGTGAGACATCCATCAAGTAAGTTGCAAACATTTTTTTCAAGGTACCACAACAATCCATGGCTATTAAAGATAACAAAGGGAAGATAGAGAAGGAGCAGCTGTCTGACTTGTCAGGGAAGATATGATTTGCTCCAGGACAGCAGATATCAATAGTTATTTGGGAGTCTGAAATGCAATGCATTTGTGTTAAATTGGAATCTTCCCCCCAGCTTCCCCCCTTCATATTACAGTATGTTTCAATAAAAGTCAATTTACCTGATCCTGTGGCAATGCTCTTTTAGGTATGGCTCATAATCTTCACAAGGGCAAACAGAGGTTGTGCATTTAAGCACGTCATCCCACATTTCCAGTCCTTTAGCCTCACTACACCATTATACTCAAACATACTCAAAGATTTAGACAGATGGAAGTGTGCCTTTGCTGCTGCTCCTCTGCAGTGACCTTGTTCTTACATCAGCCTGTCTCTGGTTTCCTGGCCATGCCTGGAAAGCTGTGTGTATTCTTCTGGAAGGATCTGGAATTAGCTGTTCCTTCACTGCTCTTACTCTTGGTAGGGGGCCACTAGCTAATGTCAAGTGGAAATGCTAAACGGAGTGGGGGAAAAAGCCCAGACACGTTTCTGTGTTGGTTTGAGTGAGATCACCAAGGCTCCCCACTTTCAGCAGATTCTAGCAAGGCTGTTCCCAGGTGTTAGCTGTCCAGGGTCCTGCAGAAACCAGCATTGCTTTCTGGGGAGAAGTGTGACCCCACAAGGAGTGTGCCCTCCTGCCTTGATAAGGCTCCTTTCAGATAGGAAATCTCACACATTCCTGGGTGTCCTGCTCACCACTTGGTAACAGTCAGACAAAGAGACCTGGCCCCACCTGTCACCCCTTATCTGCCTTCCTCCTGTGACTATTTTCCACATGGATCCTGCAAAAATCCCACTAGAACAGCTCTGGATTTCTGTTTGGCAATGTGGGAAGCTATTTCGATCCAGCCTGCCTACGGCAGACACACATTCCTCTCATTCCTGTAGCAGGGAAACTCTTTTCTTTACATAGTGAAAAGAAGCCAAACTGAGGGACTAATTACCACTTGTGTTAATTCTTGCTACTGCCTGTCAGAATGAGGGCTTGATGGCTCTCTTGTCTACCCAGAGGCAGGGCTGTGTGGCAGAGCAGCTTCACCTGGCACCAGCAGGAGTTCAGGAGTGCCTGTGGAGAGTCCTGCTCCCACACAGGGTGAGCACACACATCACTAAGGGCAGCAGAGGTACAGCTGCAGCTGTGGGCAGCATTTGAAGGCCCCTCTGCACTCCCACACCTGGTAGAGCTCCCCTTGCTCCCAGTCTAAAGCTGAAGGGTTTCTCTTTTGCAGGGTTGTTTGGGGGGGGGGGGGGGGGGGGTTAGCACTATATAGTTCCCATTTTTTTCTTATTAACGTTTTCCATTGCTGCCTCCTGCAGAGATTAATGGCAATCCAAGGCCATGGGTGACAGAAGTTTCTCTTGTGACTCCTGTTGCATCTAAGATCAGGCATACATTAATATTTACTTTCTGACAGTGTGACGGTGCATCAGAGCTCAGCCACAGCAGGTCACAGTCTCTGTATAATCCTTGTGGTTAGCAGAGCTGTTCAGCTCCCTCATGCAGGGTTTATGGGTTTGGATGTGTATTTCACACTTGGAAGAAAGTTGTAAAAATAACATTTCAGCTCACTTATATCCCAGAGTGGCTCTGACTTGGAAAAGCAGCTACAGACTGTCCAGAGAGTAAGAGTGGCCATAGTGGTTCAAACCACAGGTCTGTTTAGCCAATATTACATCCTCTAATGTTTAGTCAATATTGTGGTTCCTCCACATCTATTGCATTTCTAGCATTTATGTAAAACAGCTCTGGTTCCTCTCTTTGCAGCATCATTGGACAGCTGTTGAAATGTCTTCCTAGTTTTCCATCTCTCTTTGAGTACTTCTACTCTGCTGGCTTATCCTTCTCTGGAAGGCTGTTTGCCTCAGACCCCAATATGGTCACCCCACAAATGCAGGCATGCTGGCGCCTGAAAGCTTTGCCCATTCTTCATATGAAAAGTCATTCACAAATTCCTTGCATTTAAGTGACATCAATTTCATTCTTCCTCACTGTGCAACTTGATTTAGCTGAGGATGTTCCTGACCATGCCAAGGGGGCTGGACTAGATGATCTCTGATTGTCCATTTTAACCCACACTGTTCTACAGCTCTGTGAGTTATTAAAGACATAAACATAACACACATCCTGTGTGTTACAATTCTGTTATAATTCAGGCAAAGTCATATCTATGTGTACAGGCTTCCATTAGTCTGCAACTGCAAGCAATTATGACAGATCTTAAGTCTTTGACCACATTCAATCTTCTCTATAAGGAATTTGTTCCAACTTTGCATTTAAAAAATCCATACATTTATTTTTTTTAAAAAACCGCTTAAAATATTTTAATTCTATGATGTTTAAGGCATCGTTATTTTCCCAAACAGGATGGTATTTGCTTGGAAAGCAACTCAATGTTTACCTTTAATAACTTCTTTTAAAAAATGGATCTGAGGAAAAATATTTAATTTTGTGGGGGTTATTTGTTGTACCTGTCCATATTTAAAAGAGAAATTAAAATACAAGCAAACTGACAGGGCACATAAAAACAGACAGCCATCTTTAATTTTCCCATAGCCAGCTATGGAATTAGCTATTAATACTGGCTATAAAAAGGAGATGTAGTGCTGTCAAACAACCATACAAATACCAGCTAAAATGACAGCCTCAGTTCCATGCCCAGCTGCAAATACCACTGCACAAAAATGCACAGAAAACCAAATTCCACTGGTCCTGCTGCCCACATGGTGGGTTTTTTTCACTGCCTGTATACTAGAATCTCAGTAAATGAGTCAGCTAACCAGACAATCCTAGGAAGCAAGAACAGTAAGAAAAGCCCCTATGCAGCTTTAACACTGTCCAAAGGTACTCTGGACATGACTCAAGCTGACCTTAATGTGTGCTCCACCACTTAAAAATGTCACAAAATGTTTTGAAAATTTAGCAGCTCAGAAATCAAAGTACTTGGTACTTTTCAATAGTTGTGAAACTGAAGGAATTGACCTAATTTTTAATAAGTTTCTTAAAGAATCTTCTACAAAAAAAATTAGTGCGCTGTCTGCTCTGCAGTAAATTGCACAATCAAATGCCCATTTGTCACAAAGTATTTATGAAGTTTTGTGAGCCTGTATGAGAACAAAGGTAACATAAATAAAAACTCCCTTGCTGGGGAATTCAGTGTGTTCCTTAGAATGCAGACCTACAAAAGTTATTCTATTCTGCTGGGGAGAGAGGAGTCTGAGAAATGCAAAACACAACTGACAGACACAATTTGGAGATAATTAGCAGATTGACTTTCCA